CCCCCCCAACCAATGTACATGCTTATACTACAATTTGAAAAGCAAACATAATTTTCTAATCAACATTAGTGCATTTACTTGCACACTAAAGTATTTCCAAAAATCTGTTGTAACCTCATTTTTTGCACTGTTTGCATTAAAGGAATTTTAATGCTTTCAGTATTTGAGGCATCTTTCTACAACACATCAGGATAATCTGTTAAAAATTCATTAAAGTGCAGTGGTTCACTTGACTCAGTGCTCCTAAAATGTCATTGTAGAACATAAACTTTTTATACATAATTCATAGTTTTTCTAGACAAAAATATTTTGTACATACCCAGTTGTTTGCCTTTATTATAATGCAAAATATTTTAGAACAGAAAACTGACTGGTAGGCATCAAACCTGGTACAGTAGTTAGGGGTGTGAAATGTATGATACCAGCTGAAATAAATAGAAACTACAGGTATAGAGAAAGTTTGGCCCTATTATCTTTGGATTTTCTCTTTCCTGCCTTAAATGTCATTTTTGGCAAAAAAAATATGTACTTCAAGAGCAAGAGAAATTACTTCCAGAAAGCTATTTTGTTATAGTCCGAGACTAAATTTTGAACTGACATTACACCATCAATTTGATATATATTCAAACATATATAAAAAAAGAGAGTTTTCTACCTGCAGTCCAGAAATAGCCCAAAGAAAGGGAGATATAGGAAATAGGATGTTCCTTTTAAAATTAATTTAGTGACGAGATGAAGTTGCACAGAACTAGAGAATGAAATTCTTTCCCTTTAGAACAGGCACTAATTCACTGAAGATAAGTTAATTTTTGCAGTCACCTATCTAGCTGCAGAGGCCACCTGTTGGAGCAGAGAAGTAGTTCAGTGTCCATATCCACTTAGTCTTTAACCTTTCCTTTGACTGTCTCCAGTGGGTGCCAGCTGTAATAATTTTTCTGCTGAAAAATGAATCTCAACAAATACTTCAAGTTAAATCTCACTGCTGCTATTTCATTAAACAGCTTGCATGTGGATGGTTAACTAAGGATTGTACTTTGTCCAACAAAATTAAAAGATGATAAGAAAAAAAAGACCTAAACACCCCCACGTCTTTTCTCAGATGCTGGAGTAAAAAAATGGTCCTAAATAATGCAATGCTCCAAATATTCCTGCAAATAAATAAAATAAATATTTGTTTTTGAAAACATAAATGTCTCTCAGGACCATCATTGGGCCTTGGTGCTTGAGTACAACTAATTCTTTTTCTCCTGTTACTGGCAAGTTCCCTGTTCAAGATGGTTATTACTGATGACCTAAAATAAGTCATTCTTTCCATGGCTAAAAGCACTTTTGCTGCACCTCTCAAAGGTACAATATAGAGCTCCTAGACCAAAGAAAGGGGGTGGCTAACATGGCTTTGACACTATTTTGACCTTCCTATGCCTGGGATAACTCTTGGGACCTCCAGCACTATCCAAAATCTCCACAGAAGCAAAAAGAACCTCATGACTGTCTATACGCAATGTACGCACAACTGTCCTCCCTGGTTGCTCTAGCCCCACCACCCAGTGTAGATTGCCAGAACAGTATAGATTCCAGTCAGAAGAGAGAAGAGTGCTAACTCAGTTATTCGTTCCAGGACCAAACACTTAAGATCTCATTATCCAGGAATGGTTATCATACTACTTTGCAGGAACTCCTCTGGTAAGAAATGTTCTCCATTTTATTTGTGTAGTGTTCTTGCATGTATTTGAAGTCAAGAGAGTGGTTATTCTGGTATTTGCAATATCATTCTTAACTGAATCTTTAGGTGAAGAAACTTGTCATTGACATTTTAGTATGGCAATGTTAAGCTGTAATCTTCCACAGAGTTCACGGATATCAAATGTATGTTCTAAGGCAGTTTTCTTGTCATCCATATTCAGCACATAAGTTAACCTGAGTGTGAAGTTCTGTTTGAAAGAAGACTTTAATTGTCATCATAATCTTCATGATCTTCTTTTTCCTTGCCTTCTACAAGGCTCAAACTTTCCCTTCCATTCTGGTCTTCATGGACAAGTTTATCTGGTCTTTTAAAGAAGCCCATCTGAAATGAATAATTTCAGATTCAATTGGTATGTATCAGCAAATTCTTAATGATATATCAATTTAATATAACACATACACCACACGTAAGTTATTTAAAAAGCATAACAGGCTCAGATGAAATGCAGGCAGAGGTGAGCAAGAGCGGTCAGCTTTTCACTGTATTTGGGGGTTTTGTGGAGTCAGGGTTGTAACTCACTAATCTAAAGAAAGATAGGCTGTTTTAACTTCTGATTTTTTTTAACCAGTACGTAATATACCAAAGAAGAAAGTATCTCTTATGGCAATTGAAGTATTGGGTCAGTTGTCTCTCTTCACACATACAGTATGCATAATTGGGTTGTGAACTGTGAAAAGCAGAGTTCAAAATGCTTCCCAACTAAAATCAGTAATGGAACCCTGACATCACACATGTATTATATGGAGAATGCTAGCTGGAGAATGCCCACTTTTAATTCTCTCTTTTTTTTTTTTTTTTTTTTTTTTTTTTTAACTACAGAAAAATAATAGTGCAGTTTCTCTGGGGCAAAAAAAACCTAAGACTACAGCTATGGATTTCTATTTGATATCTCTGGGTTTATCTTGTGAAGCATGTTTACAAACCTAACAGTGTTTACATTGTGTGGCACTCTTGAAAGGACCTCAGCACACTCCAGGCTGCCATGGCACCCTGGTTGAGAATCACTGCTTAGGGCTCTCCTCTGGCTAAGAGTAGACAACATTTTCAAGTATTTACATGATAAGCTTAAAATGAAAAAAGCTATTCAAAGCTGGTAAGAAACACACCCATCTACATGTCAAATAAAGATGTCAAAAAAATTAAATTACAGCAACCTACAAAAACTTGCCTTTTTGATTTTGTGTGGAAATTATACAATTGTCACCTGTAAATAAATATCGGGATGGCAGTTGAGTGATGGTGACTACCATAACATAAAATGAAGTGCTGATGTGAAAACAATTGAAATAAGATTATAAAGGAAAAAACCCTACCTTCCATAATAAGAACGAAAGAGCCGAAAACAAAATAATGCCAGTTATAGAACTGCATCCTATAATTATCATGGTAACATGATATTTTGTCTTTTGGTTATGTACTCCTTCCAAAATGACCTATACAAAGTAGGCAAAACATATAAACCTTGAGTATTAGTAGATTTAATTTCCAAATTATGGTAAAAATTAAGAAATCACAATATAACACAAACTAGTAATTATTAGGTTATTAAATGATCTATGTACATAATTCTGTAATTTCTGAAATGCTTTTTCATTTAATGTATTTAAAGAATTCTTACATGTGCAACTTGTTTCCTCTTGTGTAGTTCAATGACTTTTGGATTTTTTTCTGGCGATGCTTTCGCTTTTATTTCAAACTGAAGTGTTGATACTTCATCCTGGTTAAGGAAAAAGGACAATCATGCCTTGTGCCATCAAATGAAAGATGACAGACCACTAAAAATAAAGTGTAATATGTTGGAGGAAATTACCCCATTATACAAGAAACACAGTAGTTTGTGGCTTGCCTTAATTTACAAACCAAGGCAGTGCCAGAGCCAGGAATAAAGCCATGACATATGAACCCAATCCTGAAATTTAGTGCTGCTTTTCTCGAAAGGAGTGTGTGTGTTAATATACTTACACAAATTCACTTGGGATTATGATACTAGTTCTAATCAAAGATGACATCTTTAAAGAAGAGGAAGTTCTGACAAAGCTAATACTTTGTGGAACAGATGGTACAAACTAGGTTCAGGTTTCTATACCAAAGGCTTTTTTTTCCGTTTCGTTCTAGACCTGTACCCTTTCTGTGACTAAAAAAGAGATGTCCCCATATTAACAGAACCCCTGTGCATGACATCATTAAAATGTTCCTTGCACCAATCAGTCTCCCAAGGAGTCTTCTGACATCCCAGCAGTATTGGTTGAACTACTGCATAAGGTTGTCATTAATGATAGAATGGATTTTTGTTCACTCCATAAATTAGTTTTTATGAAGGCTGCAGCTGACTCCTTACTGTGCAAATAGAAAAGTTTAACTGAATTTTCTTCATAGCTTCATAAACTGTAAGGGCTGCAACGGACTTCAAGATCATTGGGTCCAGCCCCCCTGCATTAGGCAGGAAATACAACTGGGGTCATGTGACCCCAGCAAGGTGACCACCCCATCTCGTCTTGAAGATGTCTAGGGTAGATGATTGCACCACCTCTGGAGGGAGCTTATTCCACAGTCTGGATGGACACTTAACAGTGAGGAAGCTTTTCCTAGTGTTAAGCCTGAAACAGTCTTCCAGGAGTTTGTGGCCATTACTCCTGGTTTTCCTCAAGGGTGCTTTAGTGAACAGTTGTTCACCAAGCCCATGATGTACTCCCCTGATGTAGTGTAAGCTCCTACCAAGTCCCCTCTCAGCCTTCTCTTTTTTAGGCTGAAGAGTCCCAGGTTCCTCAGCCTGTCCTCATATGGCTTGTCTTGCAAGCCCCTGATCATATAGGTGGCTCTTCTCTGGACTCTCAAGCTTTACCACATCCTTGAAGTGCAGCACCCAGAACTGGACGCTGTACTCCAGCTGCAGTCTCACCAGTGCTGAGTAAAGCAGAAGAATAACTTCCTTGGTTTTACTTGAGATGCATCTGTTGATGCATGCCAGAGTATTATTTGCCCTGCAGGCTACAGCATCATGCTGACAGCTCATATTCATACTATGGTCTATTATTATCCCTAGGTCCCTTTCAGTCATGGTGCTAGTCAGTTTTGGCCACCAAGCCTGTATGTTGGGGATTGTTTGTCGCCAGATGGAGCACTTTACACTTCTCAATGTTGAACTTCATCTGGTTCTGATCTGCCCAACTTGCTAGCCTGTCCACCTATATCTGCAACCTATCTTCAAGCATGACCACACTCCCCCATAACTTAGTGTCATCCGTGAATTTGGCCAGTGAGCTCTTTACCCCCACGTCCAAATCATCGATAAAGATATTGAAAAGAACTGAACCCAGACGGTTCAAGATTGGCACTGGCCACTTCTCACCAGGATGACACAGATCCATTCATTAGAACTCTCTGGGTCCTACCCTACCCCACAGCCAGTTCCCTACCCACCTGACTGTCAAGCAGTTAAGCCCACAATCCTTCAATCTTCCTGTGAGAACATCATGGTCCTATTTATTATTAGAAGTTCAACTGCAATCATTTAAATGGAAATGAGCTATTTGATAAGATACCTGAAGTGTTCTTAGCACGCAGGGACACCAAGGAGCACAGTAACCCAGTTTAGCACAGCAAGATAAAAGTAACTAATGCTTCAACCAACTTTAAAATATACAGGACTAGGAAATAATATAGAAAGTAAATGTTACGATGGACCAAAACAATGGTCCATCTGGTCTGTATAAGCATTCTGGGGCATGTCTACACGAGACATTTACTGCGGGGTAGACTAATTAGCTCTGCAGTAAATGTCCCATGTCTACACATGCACCCCTATCAGGATGCAGGAAATTAACTCAACAGCAGGGTAGTACTTCTAAATACAAGTACTATCCTGCTGTGTAGTTATTTACTGCACAGCAACAGGTGTAGATGCTAGCCTGGGCATAAATTTCACTCAGTCAGCCCAGCCAGCACGGGGCCACACTCCTGCATGCTGTCTGGGCACATGGCTCAGCAACTGCAGGAGCCTCGTGGCTCAGCCAGCTCTTTCACTGCTCAACACAGCCACCCGCTGCCCAGGTCTGAGCTTGGGCCACACTGCTGCTGCCAGCCAAAGCCTGGGCCTGACCCCCCACATTCCCCTAGCAGCTTGGGGCTGCCCCCCAGGCAGTTGCGGCCAGAACCTGAAGCTGTCCCTGGCTGCTGCATGGGGTCAAAGCAGGGCAGGAGCATCCCTGGCCTAAATTGTTCCTCTTAGGCTCATTTTGTTGTTGTCCGAGGTGCATATGTAGACACTGCACCTGGGAGCAGTTTACTGTGGCACAAATTGCTCTACAATTTATTTAGTCACATTAATTGCAGATGTAGATGTGCCCTGCAGCATTATATCCTTGAGGCGAGAAGTATGTCTTGAGCTTGTGTTTTGGTTGCAATATACCAAATGTCAAAATATGTTACACTTTTGAGACATTTGCACTTCATGCTTCAATTTGAAGCAATCTCGTTATATATTAGTAGTTCTTTTATACCATGTTTCACTTACAAATATGGTATAGTGTGATAGTGAAATTATGTGAAATATTAGATAAAGAACTAAAAATGTATACTGATTAATATCTTGGATGTAATTATATTTTATTTCTATATTAAATGAAAAATATTATTAAATTTTTCCTGTCATTTAGCAAGTAAAATGGAGAATAAGCCCTGTGATATTATTAAAATGGAAATATTAATGTATGGTTTACCATTTCTAGAAGTGCAGGGGTAGCTTCCAGATGCATATGAACAGTAGCTTCTGTTCCACTCTCCATGTTTCCAAACTTACAAAACACTTTTGTGCAAAAATTGTCATCTTTCATACAGTACTGTAAAGGAAAAAAGACCAGAGCACAAGAATTAATTTTAGGTGTTTGTTTTGGATTGTTAATATCAAAGCTTCTCAGGATTTCAATATTTTTTTTTCTGTTTGAAAAGTCAGGATACAATGCTCTCTACAACTATATTAGGCTCTCAAACAGCAGGGGAGGTTGTAAGAAGCGTACAACTGGTACAAAAGGTTGTTATATGGTCACATTTTCAAACACTAATTTTCTATTTAGGTATCTAAATGAATTCAGCAGTTCTAATAATCTGGCTATAAGTAAATTATGCTTGTTGGTCCCCTATCTTCTGATTTCAACTGGACCATTCACTAGGCATCAAAGTCACCATCACACTTGTGTTTCCTTCATAAAGTAGATTCATTTTGATTTTGCTTTCACTGGAAAGTGAAATTAACGCTCAAACGGTGAGCTAGGAGCACTGGCATCCATGTGTAAGCTTTTCCTCCAAAACTGACAACACATCTCTGTTCCAACTTGTGGTAACTACATTAAAATCAGTCCTGAAAAACAAATACTATATAATGGGAAATAACTTTATGCAGTCCATTTAAGGCTTAAATTAATTGAGAGGCTGTGTTACTTTTCTCCAAAAGGCAGCAGGGCAGGGAGTGGGGGAGAGGAAGGGTGCAAAGCAAACAACCCTTACCAAGAGTCTCTTATGAGGCCTTGAGAAGAACATGAAGACATCCTTCAATATGTTCCCACTTGTCTCTGGTAAAGTACAGTTTCTTGTATAATTATTATAAATGCATTCTCCAGCAGTTGTCTAGAAATAGTAAAAGCATGATCATTCCTTGTTTTTAAACATCTCCAGGTGTCAAATAAGATTTCTGTAAATGAAGAAACTCCAAAACAATTTAAGTTTCTAGATTTTATAATCTCTGGTGTATTAGATGCTGAAGCTGAGCCACGTTTTGTCCACTTTGCCTAAAAATAGCTAAATTTAGTTGTTATATTTTACATGGACTTAAATTATACTAAAAGGTTCTGGAGGAAGACATGTTTAGCCAGAAAGAAGGTTGCTGGAGCATTGGGCCCTTTCCTCTGGAGAGGCTGCGGGAGAGGGTAGGGATATAATTATATTAGCAAACTAATATTTTAAACAGTGAGTGATATTCTTGCTTTACTGGATCCAACTACGATAGAGATAAGTCAACAGCACTGTATTGTATTCTAACAGATTCAAGGAAATGACAAAGGACTGCGAACTTTACATTCTGCAAAGCAGCACATATGCTGACTGAAGACAAATAATTACCAGAATTTATGACGGCAACTACAAACTAAAACCAAAACTGAAAGTATTTATTGGCTGGGATTATGGAATGTAGGAATTCCCTCTTCTAGCTGTATTAAAAATATTGGATTCTACTCCCTACAAGAAATCTTCCATGCTAAAACAAAATTTATTACCTAGAAAGACTAGACTAGAAAGTTTAGGGCCAGTTCAGCACAGGTAGACTTAGTGACTTCAGTGAGGTTCTAGTCACAACCTAAGTTACCAGTTGATATATTTTACAGAAAGTAGAGAGAGAGAGTACACGCATTCAGTTTTCAGTCTATACATTCAAGCAAGCATCTAACATTTTCATTCTATAAATGGGTACAACATAACTAATGATGTCTTAACCCAGGCCAGGTACTTTCTGTTTGTTTTTAAATACCTTGGCATACAGAGGAATCTGAATATTTTTCAGGATTGGGTTCCTAACCCTGCTGGGGTTTGTGAAGTATACACAGACACAGCAGAGAGCTGTGCAGGAATCTGAGGTGCTCTGGCATTTATTTCAAAGGGTGCTGTTTCTCTGATTAACTGCCTAGGACTGCTGATGAGGTCCGGGTAATTGGAGGAGTGGTGTCCTTTTGATGGAAAAGCTGCAGCAAACAGCTGAGCAGCTTATTCTTAATTCAGCACCCCTCTCTGAATTAAGTGGGTTGCAAACCACCAAGACACAAATAATCCAAGTTCTACATTTTTTGTATCATCAATACCCCTCATAGTTTCTGAAATTACTATATATGTAGTTCAGAGTATCAGCCAACTCTACATGTACTTAATATACTGACATGATTAATAACATGGGGCCTCATGTTACAGTTTTTTTGTTGCAGTCAAGTTTCATATTCTGGGTGACCAAATAAGGTATAAGGTATACCTTTTCCAATACACTGCTGTACTCCATCTGATTCTGTACTTTCATTTAATTCACACTGAGCATGTCTTCAGGTGCATTAAGCTTAGTATTTGTAATAACAGGTGCTAACTTAATGCTCTGTAATTGGTGCTACTGCACAATAGCATCAGCACATGGCTTTTAGGTGACACTAATGCACAGTAAACTGATTCTACTGTGCATCAGCACGGCTTTCGTTGTGGCCCACTAATGCACAGTAGAATTAGTCTACTGCACTTCTAGCGTCCCATGTAGATGCGCCCACTGAGCAATATATAAAACCATGCTATAATATACCCCGGAAGTAAGAAGAGTATACCTTGACATCCAGGATGTTGAACAGCTTGAAGTTTCTTGGTGCAAAAGCATTAGGTATCATTAACTCCATTCCTATATTAGGAGCCATGCTTAGTCCAGCACTGATAACCTTGGGGAAAAGTGTGCTTTCATTCATACATGGCAATCAAGGGATTAATGCACAGCAATTACAGTAGGCAGAAGATGGCAACAGTAAAGGCAGATTCATGGTAGAATTTTCCAGTCTTGCATGTTGGGTGGATATTCCAGGGGCCTAAAGATAAGTTGGTGCCCAACTTCCACTGACATTTACTCTACCAAACAACAGTAAACTAAAATATACCTATAGTTATAAACTGAAATATAATACTTCTGGTCCCCTGAACGTTCCTATGTACTATCTCCTTACCAAACATAAAAAGGATTAATTAATTAGAATAGTACACATCAAATACAATTTCTACAACTGACTCCCGTTTTCACAAATATCTACTTTCTCTGAATACCCACTGAGAGATTACATTTAGGGGCAAAGAAGGAGATTCTTAGCAGACAGGCATCCAACTCCCACTAAATTCTGTCTTTGAAAGTTGTCCTGGCAATCTAGGGTATGCTTATACTTGAGCCAAGGTCAAATTTTGATCACCGAGAGGCAGACAAGTAGCAAACAGGACCTAGCTGGGAAAGCTTAATATATTTAAGCCAGGAGTTTTCAACCTTTTTAAACAAGTGCACCCCTCATGTCTCAAAAGTTTCATCTCATGTACCCCTTTACATATTTTTCTTGTTTTTAATGTTACCAATTATGTGATATAAGGCAGGCTGCACTAATTAACATTAAATTCATTATTAATATATGCATTAAATATAAGCATCATAGTCTGGATGGTAAGTCTGTTATGAGGGAAGGGGCGTGAGGCAGCAAATCGAGGCTGGGGGTGAATCGAGGTTGTGGGACTTCTGGAGCCCTGGCAGTTCATCCATGGATGTGGGGGTCCTCCTGCCCTTGTGTGCAACCCCAAGGCAGGCACAAGGGGCACATGCTCTCTGATCTGTGTGTGGGGTAGAGGCAGCTGGTGCCCCAGAACCAGTGTGATGCCACATGCCTCCTATGCTCTGGCTGTGCCACCTGCCCGGTGGTGGGAGGCACGTGGCATCACGCCACTCTGGGGCCACCAGCAGCAGGGTGAAAGTGGCCTCCACCCTACACACAGATCAGGGGGCACATGCCCCCTGTGCCTGCCCCAGGCATGTACACAGTGGCAGGAGTCCCCCCTGTGCCCCTACATGAGCTGCCTGGGCTCCAAGCGTCCCATGACCCACCCTAGCCCTGGGCCCCCCCATTCACCCCAGCCTCTGCCTGTCTCTGCCCCACTCTCTCCCTCGCTGCAGAGGCCTCAATCTGCCTCCCCACACCCCTTCCCCTACCTGCTGGGGAGGGGGGTGTGCATGCAAATGTGCATGCGCTCAGCCCCCCAAATCATATTTTCTTCCTCTGCCTATGGGGAGCGAGTGGCGCTGCACAGCCAAAGCAGGGTGAGGTGTGGGACAGAGCCACAAGCAGCTCATCTGGGGAACACGGGGAGTGGGGGGGGAGGAAGGGAGTGGGAGGCTCCTGCCACTGCATGCACCCTGAGAGGGCAGGGAAGGCACATGCCCCTGGATTTACATGCAGGGCAAGGGTGGGCTGCTGCTGTGAGCCAGGGGTGTGCCAGGCTCTTCCTGGCAGGGGGCTTGGCCAGGGCTGCACTCAGGGTGGGCAGCAGTGGTTTAGCCACAGGGTCCTACAGCAAATTTTGGGGTGGTTGCAGTCTCCTCCCCCTCCATAGCCCCACTGCCTACACCAAGCGCAGCCCTGCTGAGCCCCTCTGCTGGGAAGAGCCCCATGCAGCCCTGACCCCAGCCCACTGTGGCAGCCCACCCTCTCCCCATGCGCAGATCCAGGGCACACCCCTGTGCCCTCTCAGGATGTGCGCAGTGGTGAGAGCTGCCCCCTGCACTCCCCGGATGAGCTCTGGCTCTGTCCTACATCCTACCTGGCTGTGCAGTGCCTGCCCCTGGCCCCAGTCCCACTCCCTCCCCCACCACAGGTCCCTCCATGCCCCTTCCTTCCCTCTGCCCCTTCCCCCACAACAGACTTACCAGCCAACCTGGCTGCTCCGCGCTGTCGAGCTGTACTCCTGGCCACTCATTCAATTCCATGTACTCCCTATGACCTTTTTAAGTAACCCTAGGGATATGCAAACCCCCAGTTGGGAACCACTGATTTAAACTATGGCTAATCCTGGGCCTAGAATAAACTGGATGACCACAGTGAAATGATGGAACTAAGAAACCTAATGCTATAGGAATTCATAATATCATCTAAAAATAAGCAAATAAGGTACACTCATTCTAGCCTGGTTCACTGTTAGTAAGGAAAACAAATTTAGTTATTAGCTGATCAGTCTCCAACTGAAGTCAATGGCAGTGTTCCTATTGGCTTCATGGGGACTCAGATTTTGCTCTTCAAGAATGTTTTACTAGGCTCATGGTGGCTTCACAGAAAAATTGAAAAATATGTGAAGCTGCTGTACTGTCATTGCTTTTGTAAGGCTCAGTAAATTAACATCCTGTCTTCACTGGGTGCGTCCTCATCCTTTCTGAGCTTTCCCTGGCTCCCCTATTCTTTTCGGTTTGCCAACCAGCAGAAGTATTAGGTCTACCATAATGATGGGATAATTCTGTTCTACCCCGGTTAACTCATCTAATTTATTAGACAAATTCAATAATATATTATAATTCTATATTTAGAATAGTATATTCTATTTCCCTACAGCTGACTGTCGCTACTGTTGTTGATAGACAGTTAGTTACTGTGGGTGGTTTTTGTTTAACCCAGGACTGTCTAACTTTAGTGTGGCCTGGGACCAGGGGCTGCGTGTGGCACCGCTGTGCAGAGATGCTTCCCTTCCTTCCCCACCCCTCCTCCCCACTCTGCCCAGGCTGCCCCACCAACATGCAGGCCTTCTGCCATGCAAGCTGCACCGCCAGCACGTCTACTACCCACTCCCTCCAGTTGTGTGAGCTGCACAGGTGGCATGCAGACCCATAGACAGCCCTGCTTTAAGCTCTGAAACCATTTGGGAGCATTTGTTGACTGTCCCAACCACAAATACAGAGTGGTAATTAGCTTCAACAGAATCTTCTAGGGAGATATTTGTAGGCACATTTTCTCAACAGTCAAGATTTGGAGACTTGCTTCTTCAGTAAGATCAATATAAGCTAAAAGTGACATTCTCCCATTAAGTTACAAGATATGTGTCGAGACTGCAGGAAACTGCCTTTTGCCTCATGATTGCATTAAGTATTAATATAAATTTAAGGTAACAATTTCTTCAAAGAACATCTCTTACATGGAAAGTTAAATTGATCTTTTCTTTCATGCATGTCATTGTTTGTGCATCTTCTTCACTGGGTCCATAAACAAACGAAGCTGGTGATACAAATCTGTAATAGTTTAAAATAATATGACAATAAGTACATTAGTAAAAGCATAATCACATCTGGGTGACATTGTCTTCTACGTAGTTCAATCCTAAGAAATATAGAAGCCCCGTGCCTCCATGCTGTTTGCCAGTTTTATAGTACCTCTATACCAGAATAGCTATGGAAGATCCATTCTATCATGCAATCCCCAGAACCCAACTTACACCAGATGGGTTCAGGAATACAGTCAACTTTAATTCAGGCAAGGAAATTTCCAGGCTTGAGAGGATAAAATCTTGCAGAAATGGATCATTCTACAGCCCAAATATAAACAACTAACTAACTGCAAATGTGTTTTGTTCACACTTTTAGAATATCAGATGTTGAGTTCAAAGAGGGACTTCCAGAAAATAGGACTGATGTGGCACTAAAGGGCTGTTCACCTTTTTCCATCCCCAAGTTACCTACCACTACCCTCTGTAACAGTTGGGACTTCAAACCCCTTCACTTTGATTAAAGGTTTATCAAAAGCATGCGAGACTTTCTTTGGAAAACTAAACAGAACTTTAGTTTAAAAGGATTTTATAGGGGGAAAATAATGAATAAAAAATTATAGTAAAAAAAAAAAAGCTTGGGATGTCTAAGTTTTTACTTTTTGAAAATGTTAACCAGGCAACCAAATATAATTAGACTTGCAAAATTTAAATAAATAAATAAATAAATAAAAAGCGAAAGAAATAAAAGGACAAGAAGTCTTTTTTAAATACATAGGGGGTAAAAAGAAGGTACTGGGTAATGTGGGGCCTCTGCAGGACACGCTAGGAAATTTGGTGATTGTACCAGACAGAAAAGCTAACCTATTTAACAATTTCTTTGCCTCCATTTTTCTGAGTAGGGACCTGTTCATCCCCGGCACTGGGACCCCTATAGGAGGCACACCCAGGCCTAGGGTCATCGAGAACCTAGTCAGGGAACTTCTGGAGGGACTGGACATATTTAAAATCAGCAGGTCCTAACAATCTCCACTCCAAAGTGCTGAGGGAACTAGCAGAGGTTATTGCAGGACATCTGGCACGGCTTTATGAGCATTCGTGGTGCTCTGGTGATATGCTGGAGGACTGGAAAAGGGCCAATGTGGTTCCCATTTTCAAAAAAGGGTGGAAAGAAGACCCAGGAAATTATAGGCCCATTAGTCTTACCTTGGTTCTGGGGAAGCTTTTTGAGAAAATTATCCTGATGCATGTCCACAAGGCACCAGCAGGGGAGACTATGCTTAGGGGCAACCAGCATGGGTTCATTAGAAGCAGGTCCTATCAGACTAACCAGGTGGCCTTCTATGACCAGGTCACAAAATCCTTAGATGCAGGGGTAGCAGCAGACGTAGTCTTTCTGGACTTTAGGAAGGCCTTCGACACTGCCTCACCCCATTCTCATTAAAAACTAGGAAACTGTGGTGTCAACACCTACACAGTCAAATGGGTCGTTAACTGGCTACAGGGCCACACCCAGAGAGTGGTGGTGGATGGGTCTTATTTGACCTGGAGGGATGTGGGCAGTGGGGTCCCCCAGGACTCGGTCCTCAGGCCCACATTGTTCAACATCTTCATCAGCAACTTGGACAAAGGTGTAAAATGCACCTTGTTCAAATTTGCAGATGACACTAAGATATGGGGGAACATGGGCATGCTAGAAGGGAGGAATAGGCTGCAATTGGACCTAGACAGGTTACAGGGGTGGGCAGATGAGAATAGGATGGGATTCAACACTGACAAGTGCAAGGTGATGCACCCGGGGAGGGAGAACCAGCAGCATACCTACAGCCTGGGGAACTCCCTTCTCGTCAGTGCAGAGACAAAGAAGGATCTTGGAGTCATTATTGAGGCCAAGATGAACATGGGCCGACAGTGTAGGGATGCAGTCAGAAAGGCCAACCGCACCTTGTCATGCATCCACAGATGCATCTCAAGCAGGTCCAAGGAGGTGATCCTCCCCCTCTATGCAGCACTGGTCAGGCCGCAGCTGGAGTACTGCGTCCAGTTCTGGGCACCGCACTTCAAGAGGGATGTGGGCAACATGGAGAGGGTCCAGAGGAGGGCCACTTGCATGATCAGGGGGCAGCAGGGCAGGCCCTATGAGGAGAGGCTACGGGACCTGAACCTGTTCAGCCTCCACAAGAGAAGGCTGAGGGGGGATCTAGTGGCCTGTTACAAACTAGTCAGAGGGAACCAGCAGGTATTGGGGGAGTCCCTGTTCCCC